TTTTTCGCGAGCTCTTCATCACCTGACACGTAGGACACGAGCCCACGTGGTGCTGTACGTCGGTCAACAGCTCCGGCCAGTAGTAATACCGCTGCAGTTGCTGTAGCGTTTTTTCTACCCCGAAGTGGCCCAATGTAATCCCGTCGTGTGCCTCCTGCAGTAACAGTTCCCTCAGTAGTGAGTACGCGGGTACCCAAATGCTGTTGGTGCCTGTTTTTACGTAATAGACTCCCTTAGCTTCTGCCAGTTGCTGTGAATTTCCGGTCATGAAAAATGGGTCGGTACTGTATCCGTGGGTGAATATGCCTGTTAACAGTGGGTTGTTTTGGGCGAGTAGGATGGCGTGGAGATGGGCGGTAGGACGTGTGAGTGCGTCGGCGATGTTTGATGCGCCTTTTCTTTACGTGACTGTGTAGTGGAAGTTGGACTCCAGATAGTCCAACCAGCGGATCTGTCGCGGGTTGAGATTCGGTTGGGCGCGGAGGTACTGTAGTGATCGGTGATCTGTCCGTACTGTCACGTCGGCGCCAGTCAGGTAGCATCGCCACACTTTGAACGTGTGCATGATCGCCAACATTTCGCGGTCGTGTATCGGGTAGTTGCGTTCGGGCGGGTGCAGCTTGCGGGACTCGTACGCGATTGGCTGGAGGCCGTTCCCAAAGTCCTGCAACATTACAGCTCCCACGGCGATGTCACTTGCGTCGGTGACGAGCTCGAACGGACGGTGCGGATCTGCGATGTAAATCAGTATGTCGTCGAGGTACGATGATGCACTTATCTAAAAGCGGGCGGAAGGCTTCGCTCATGGTCATTTGAAAGGTTGCAGGGGCGCTGGTCAGTCCGAAGGGCATGACGGTGTATTCGAAGGTTCCGTAGCGTGTTCGAAAAGCTGTTTTCGGGCACTCGGGTGGGTTGACTCGGATCTGGTGGTAGCCTCCTCGAAGGTCAATTTTCGAGAAAACTCGGGCTATGCGCAGTTGGTCGATCAGTTCGTCGGCTCGTGGGATGGGGTAACGGGATTTGATGGTAACCCTGTTTAGTGCGCGGTAATCGATGCACATGCGAAAACCCCCGTCCTTTTTCGGTGTGAACAGTATCGGTGCTGCGAAGGGTGACGAACTCGGGCGAATGAATTCCTTCTCGAGCAAGTAATCTAGCTGCTTCCTTTGTTCATCCAGTTCAGGTTGGGTCAGTCGGAACTGTCGCTGTACTGTCGGTTGTGCCCCCGGTTCTGACTCTATCCTGTGGTCGTGCGGTCGCTGAGGTGGCAGACCTGTCAGCACGTCATCCGGGAAAATCCCACTGTACTGCTTCAGTAGTGCTGCCAAGTTATCCGGTACGTCGGCTAGCAGTTTCTGTAAATTCCCCCCTTTGTGTGCTGCCTCGGCTTCCCGAATGTCGACCGCGTACACGTCAGCTCCTGCCGTTACGGCGCGTTCCATCGTGATCGCGTTGACACGCACCGACGAAGACTCAGGCGAGCCCTAGCAAGGTAAGGCGATGTTGTTACCGTTCACTCGCACGGTGCAATCACCCGTCGTCCAGTCGATTCGCGGGTTGTGTCGTCGCAGCCAATCACGGCCGAGTAAAATGTCGGTTCTGTCGAGGGTTGTCGCGAGCATTTCCTGGCTAAACGTGAAGTTACCCCCGCATCGAATCCAAACCCGGTCTACGCGTTCTTGTATCGCCAGCGGCGTGCCGTCAACCAGTCTTGCGTCGATCTCAGGTAAACATCTGTCCAGTGGCAGTCTCAGTTTTCGTGCCGTGGTGGTATTGATCAGGTTGTGGTTGGCTCCCCCGTCTACGAATATTTTAACTAAGTCTGTCCCAATTTTCCTGCTAAGCAGTATGGGGCTGTCTACCATAGTACCCTCCTTATTCGGCCGGGTGTGGTCGATTGCGTGAACCAGCACAATCACTCGGTGAGGGTCGATTGGGTCGGGCGAGTGGCGTGACCCGTCTGCTACTGACTCCCAGCGTTTCCCTGCTACTTGGTCTGTTTCTGCTGCTCAGCTTCCTTCTTTCCCTTGGCGTTTTCTGGGCATTCGCTCTTGCGGTGTCCCGGCTGATTGCACGTGAAGCAGCGCCCTTTGAACGGTGCGGCAACGGCATTTGCGGTGACGTCACGTATCGTGGCGCCCTCGTTCGTCCCACGAGATCGATGTCCCCAGTTGCCGTTGCTTCCGTAGGACCCCAGCCTTGGTCGGCGAAAGAAGTCGAGCTTCTCCGCCATGGCGAGAATTTCCTGGAAGTGGATGACGCCGCGGAGCTGAATTTCTTGGGCGATATCATGCTTCAGGCCGCCGATGTAGCGGTCGATGCGCTCGCTTTCGTGCATGTATCCCACTTGCTCACACAGCGCCAGGAACCCGCTAGTGTAGTCTTGGACGGAACCGAGTTGGCGCCAAGTGCGGAGCTTCTGACGCGCCGCGATCGAAGCCGTAATTGGCTCAAATCGAGCGCGCAGACCTGCGCACCACGCGTCCCACGTGCGATATCGGGGCACCTCTACAAAATACGACAACCCCCAGGGTCCGGTTAGTCCTTCCCGTGTCGGTAGAGTCGCGCAGTCCATCGGCTTCGTGATGATGACGCGCCACCAGTCCATGGCGGATCCTCGCAGCAGCGATACGGCGTAGCGAATCTTCGCTGTATCCTCCGAGACGTAGTTGGCGTAAAAAAATACGTTCAACGTGAATAACCACGCCTGAACGGTAGGACCTCCCCGTTGACTCGGGTCAAAGCATGGCGGACGCTGCGGCTTCAGCGGCATCGGTGACGGGAATGCCGAATCATTGGTTGGTGCCAAAATCGTGACGCGAGGCTAGCTCCTGGCCGCATTCGTCGCTTCGGGGTATGTCGTGCCGTGGTCGTCGTCTCCGTCGTGGCGGACGACGCCATCACTGGCCGCGCTCGCGGGTTGCCCCACACTTCTATGCTGCGATGCGTGTGGTGCAGGTTGTCCCGGAGTGCCAGGTGCTTGTGATTGTGCTTGCTGTGCTCGTGCGACGTCATTTTGCAGGGACGTGCGTTCGGCCGTCAGTGCCGCGATTTCTTCAGAGCTTTCGTGGAGCTGTCGCAGCAGCTCGTTCAAACGGTCCTGCGTGAGCGTCGTGACGTCGATACGTTCAGCCATAACGAAGGGCGTCGGCTCAGCTTAGTCTATGCGCAGTCGTGGCTGCACACATTTACGAGAGAACGCGAGGACAGCGGCTCCTAGGTGCTAAGGGGCGTGAGTCCCTTCGAGTGAAAAATCAAAAGTTGATTTCCTGGGGTGCGGAGATGCGCGGTCCGAAAGAAAGTGGCTCTGATAACGAAGTGTTACGGGTGCAATGAATCGAGGTAGCGAGGATTGGACTAGAGTGTTCAATGAGTACAAAATATGGGCGAAGGCATGAGCGAATACTTATACGCGAAAATGTGCAAACGGTAACGCGGTGCGTGCGAGCTAGCTAGTGCTATGCTGGCGCGAGGTTCGGGCTAGTCCCGAAGCGTAGGCCGACTCGGCTGCTCCAGCAGTGCAAGGTTTGGTGAAACAGTGCGCGCGAAATTGGCGAAGCCCCGTTAGCAGTAACGGGTGAACAACGGCTGCTGCTGTACGCGATGTGGACGGTCGCGGTAAGGAATAGCGAGAAAATTCCTTACAATATGTATACAAACACATTAAAATGTCATGGATGTAAGAACCTAGAATCGTCGTCAGAACCATCCGAGTCAAAGTACCAATTTCCAATAGCTTTTCTCAGAGTGATGCCATTTACCGAAACCTTAGCCCAAGACGAGTACACCGTGCTGCAATGCACCACTTTATCCGACAAATACGCACCAACCCTCGGCTCTTTCTTCACGAGCGCCTTCACCTCATTATACATAGTCCCGGCAACGGTCACCACGGCCTTCTGCTCGTCTTCCGTGCACGGGCTGTTCTCCTTATATTCCATCGTCGTCCATGAGTTGTTACGGATGGACTCGGTGAGGGATGGCATGTCAACGGTTAGGTCGTGCAGGCACCGTGCGATGTTGGATGTCTTGTTGGGCAGCTGATTGCCGATGCTCAGTGCCGCGTAGTCAAAGAGGGGGTTCACCACGTAGATGGTGGAGGAGATGTAGCCGAGAGCATATTGCGGGAAAAAGCACCGCCACTTCTCCTCGTCCTCGTGGGCTGCAAGCCAAGGGATGGAGGGAGCGCAGGATGACGGGTAAGAAGACGCGGTAGGCGAGAAGCAGGGGAAAATGTTCACATGGTGGGTGGGGATCGCTCATGAAAGTGCTGTTCATATGCTACAAAGAATCGCAAGTGCACAGGAGGGGAAGGGGGGTGTAAAAAAGGAGAAAAGGGCATTGAAGAGAGAAGGGAAGAGAGGAGGAGGAGGGAGGGTACCTCTACCGCAGCGGGCGTTTCCAGTGGCCTGGTGTAGTCTCGTAACACGTTGGACCAAGGAACGGAACCGGAGGTTATAATTCCTATCCCTTGCATCTGAAAGGTATACAGCAACCCACAGATATGTATAACAAAGGAAAGGAAATCAATATCTCTGAACAGCACAAATGTCGAGCCACTGCAAAAAGGTGGAGCCACAGGATGATGAACATTGTTCAAGTTGATGCCAGGAGAGAAAAATGGGGGGTGTACCGAGAAAAAAGCCTCCATCCATGAGGCACTTGACGGTGGCAGACGGCAGTAGAGTCTCCACCTGATCGCACAGCATCACCACCGCCTGGCCCCCTGCTGAGCACCCTGACAGCAGCACTTGCGTCGCGGAGTTGAGGCCCCTATGGTCCATCAGGTCTGCAGCAGGTGGTTGTTCAGGTGGCATGTGAGAGGGGACATATTTTTGAAAGATAGTGATGACATGTGCAAGAGCGGCAAGATAAGTGTGGGTGAGTGCGTGTGCGCTTGTGAGGAACAGAGAGAGAGAGAGAGAGAGAGAGAGAGAGAGAGAGAGAGAGAGAGAGAGAGAGAGAGAGAGAGAGAGATAGAGAGAGAGAGAGAGAGAGAGCTACACACCAGAGAGCACGGCTTTCATGATGCGCCAGCCGTCCATGAAGATGCTCGTGCTGTCGTTCACCTTCTTCCACCCCGCGCGCCCCGCGTACCCGCCCCCGTCGCAGTAGAGCGGCACCACCAGGTTCCAGTCGTAGAAGTTGGGGTTGCGCCGCCGCACCGGGCTCAGGATGCCCTTGAACAGCACCGCCAGGTGCCGCGCGCTCTGATGCGGACAGTATGGGTGAGAGAGAGGGGAGGAGAGTGAATGCAGGATGGGAGAGGGTGTGAGGAGGAATAGGAGAAGGATACGAGAGGAACGACGAGAGGGAACGAGATTGGGGGTATAACCAACCCGGTAGTCAAAAGGGCAGCGCAAGGAATCGAGGGGAGGTGGAGAGTTCAGAGGCAACCGAGTTCAGAGGATGCGTAGGGAAGAACTGGAAAGAAGCGAGGGAGGCAGCGAAGGGTCGAATCAGACCAAACAAGATAGAATCGAACCATACAAAGGAGAATCCATCGAAGGCAAGGGCGGACTAAATGTGGGGATTGGGGCGGGGGGGCGAGGGGGAAGCACCTTGCGGCGGGGCGTCCAGGGCCGCGTGGATCCCATGGAGGTGGCGGCGCGCGCAGCGCAGTCCTCCGCAGTGGCGCACCACCCCCCGCCCGGCAAGAATATGTGCCATGCTTCCTTCCCCGCACCGCTGCCGCGCCGGAGAAAGTACCCGGGTGGACTAGTTCGTGGAGAAAGCAAACAGGGAAGAGTCAGGGAGGTGGGGGACAGGTGGTGGTGAGGACGATGTAGGTCAAATACCTGGGTGGACTTTCCAGCCGTATTCCCCGCATACAATAGTCGGTCGGGTCAATAGCGTTGGCAAACCGGGCACGCGGGCCCGGTGTGGCGCCTTGATGTACCGACACCTTACCTGCCGTCCAGGCACTTGGCGCCAAAGGTATTGTCGGCGAGCACATGCAGTGTGAGGTTCTTGCCCTCGGGCATGGCCCACTCGCGCACCGTGTCGTCGTCCGCCGTGCCGTCCGGCGCGTCAGACGCCGCACAAAGCACCGACGCGAACCCCAAGAAGCTCACGAGCCCGCTCACGAGGAGAAGCCTCCAGACGACACGTGGCGCCAGGGACGCATGCTTCAGATGCGCGCCGCGCTCTCGACTACTCTTTATCCGGTGCGCTCTAGGCGATCTAGCCATGTGCGCTCTAGGCAATAGAGCCGTTTCCTCTCTATTACAGCTTCTTTCTGCACAGTTGCTATTCCGTGACGTCACGTGCGATGCGACAGGTAGCACGTCGTGAGAAACGATGGGCGGGTGTGGGATATCATCCGCGCCGTGCAGAACTGCTCCGTAACGAGCTGCATGGCCACAGCGGCGATGACGGCGATGGCGGCGGGGCGTGGCTGCGCCTGGAGCCATTACTAAAACGGATTCAGGCGGGCCAGCCCATTCGCAGGGGCGCTTGCTTTTGAGACTGCGACTGACGAGCCGAGCTGGACAAGTGACACGCCGCTGCTCGCGCTGCGCTGCTTGTGCTGCGCTTCTAGTGCTGCTAGTGCTTTCGTCGCTAGTAGTGGCAGTAGGGCGGAGAAACGAAAGAATGACCAAAAGAAATACAACGGCGGGTGGCCTTCGGGATGTCACGAGGAAACTATTGCTGTTGTAACGGGAAGTTCTCTCAGACTCGGTTACTCTTGCGGGAACTCCTACTGCCTGGAGAAGGCAAGAGGGGCGAGGCGATTAAGCTGGTCCTAGTGGGGCGAGAGATGGAATAGGGGAATGAGATATGAGAAGTTCCTCTCATGTGAAAGGTGGTTTGACGTTGAGAGAGCCACGGCGATGCTGGAAATGTGCAGCCGACTGGAGGTGGAGGGCGGACAAGACCAGACGAGTTATTCGCGCCGGCAACTGTGCCACTACTGCTGTTTTTGGAGGAAGTGGGCTGGAGAGGGGAGGAATGAGAGCATACTGTGCTGTGACATGCATAGTTGTCTCAGTCGGTCGGTAGTGTTGTGCAATTGTGGCGCAGTTTTGATGGAATCATGACGGCTGGGATGGGAAGGAGTGGATGCTTGTTGAAATTGCTCGTTGGATGGTGGTGAGGATTTTCAGCAATACGGGGGTGATGGATGCGCTGCGTGTGAAGTAGTGTAGGAAATTTGAAATTGCGAGTCGCGGACACAAATTTGGCGCGTATACGGACCGAATTCCTGAGTGTCATATGGAGCAAACGGGATTTTCTCTTTGCCTTGAAAATCAATATCGCCCTATAAAGCAATTCCTACGCCAAGTTTTCAAATAAATATACTAAGTACGGTACACGTATGTACATTTTCTCATGTGTTTGCTGGGGTCTTGGAGGGTGGCAGAAAGATGGTGGCAGTAGATACGATTTTCATGCAGTACAGCTACAAGACACTCAGCGGCAGGTTCATCCCCGCCAAAAGCGACGCACACTTGGTGTGAGGCTAAAGATGTGTTGAATTATATATCTTATAACTGTCTACAGCTTGCTAGTGTATTAGTTAGCTATTAGAATCAACCGTTGGTGGTGCACCCTATCCCTTTGCTCTTGCCTACTTGTACTTCCAACTCTATAGTGAACCCCTCTTCTTTGCTCAACCTTCTCGACATTCATGCAAGCCCCCATACCCTAGTCTCCTAAGTCCTCTCCTAATCTAACATGGTATTGAGCTACTAAGCTCCTCGGACCTAAATGGGCCCACCCGTTCATTCTCTCATGGCTTCCCCGTCGCGCCTCTCTCGTTTCGCCCCCCGTCGCGCGTCAGTCTCTGAACCTGTCGCGACGGTCGCAACGGTCATGGCGGCGAACTGTGCGTGCCCCCCCGTCACGCTCGCCGCGGACCCCCATCGCGGCTCCCTGCCGCGCCTCTGGTGCGGCATCCCGTCGCGCCCTGCGCGACCTCTGTCGCGGCTCCCCGTTCCCCCCACCCATGCTCCCGCCAGCGCCAACCGCGCTAGCGACTGCTGCCGTGTTAGCGCGAGGTGGTGGGGGTGGCGGCCAGTGGGGAGACACGGGGGTGGAGATGGAGGTGGCGGGCTGTGGGGGGGAGGGTAAGGGGGTGGCGAGAAGGATTCTGCAAACTCAACCGCCGCCCCTCTCCCCCCCTCTCTCCCTTCCGCGGATGCAGCCGTGGGGGGGAAGGGTGAGTGGGTGGCGGGAGGGGGAGGGTGAAGGGGTGACGAGCATACCCAGAGCCGCCGCCAATCATCCTCCTCCTCTCCTCTCCTCTCCTCTCCTCCTCTCCTCTCCTCCAGCCGCCTCCTCCTCTCTCCTCTCCTCTCCTCCAGCCGCATCTCCTCCTCCTCTCCTCTCCTCCAGCCGCATCTCCTCCTCCTCTCCTCTCCTCCAGCCGCATCTCCTCCTCCTATCTCCTCTCTTCCAGCCGCCTCTCCTCTGCTCTCCTCCTGTGCACCACCAGCAGCTTCCTCCTCCTCACCAATAGTTGTGTTTGCTCGTAGATGGCGAGCGACCAGCATCCTTCGCCCTCCGGCTATCCCAGCCCTCCTCCGCGCTCTCCGCGCCCTCCTCCGTTCTGGCTTTCACAGGTGCTGCCGGTCAGCCACCGCTGTTTCTGTGCCTATCCCAGCTACAGCAACCACTCTCCAGGCGACCTGGTGCCAGACACCACTAGCTAAAGCCGTAAGCAGTTACGGGGGTGTGTTGAATTATATATCTTATAACTGTCTACAGCTTGCTAGTGTATTAGTTAGCTATTAGAATCAACCGTTGGTGGTGCACCCTATCCCTTTGCTCTTGCCTACTTGTACTTCCAACTCTATAGTGAACCCCTCTTCTTTGCTCAACCTTCTCGACATTCATGCAAGCCCCCATACCCTAGTCTCCTAAGTCCTCTCCTAATCTAACAAGATGGTACGGTAGGAGCACATCCGTCATAATGAAGAAGTCATAATTGATGCATGGGAGGTGTAGGGTGGGGGATCTAAGCTACTGTTGTGATAATTAAGGATCGTAGTGGATAGTGTCAGAATCCCAACCACTAGACCATTGGGATAAAAGGGCTTGTTAAGTAGCGGGTCAGTGCGCCCATAACCCCCCAGGACAACGAGCCTGTAACCATTCCCTAGGATCAATCGGGGATCACCAATGGACCTCTGACATATAGAATAAGTCTGCTACGTCTAGGAGAAGACAATGAAATATTTTGTAATGACCTTGTTAATAAAAGTTGAAAGAGAACAAGATGATTATGAGATAGAGATACAAGGGTATAAATAGCAAACTAGCTAACCATGTACTCTGAGGGGTACATTCCCTTATTAACTGTATTGCATAGCTACAGTAACTGCGACTATTGCCATTATCGACAGTTACCATATTGCATCGCGTAACCTCTAATGCGATTGCCGGACGGTCAAGAGTCGCGACCGTTGACTAACAGCGACTGTTGACTTTCGGGTGACTCTCGATCTTCCGCATGCTCTATATGAGCTATTGCGGTACTGCTACAGACGCGTTGCTTCGTTCTGAAGAGACGCGTGAGTCGAGATCCTTCAGGAATGTTACTTTAACATTTCGGTTATTCCAACACTCCCCTTCATTCCTGAAGGTGAGTCACGTGATATTTCTTTGAGATCCCGCAGAGGTTGGTGCAGAGCTGAAACTTCTGACGTGGCAGCTTCTTGGTCAAGAAATCTGCTGCCATGTCACCAGTTGGGCAATACGTGAGTTTGACCTTGCCTTTGTTGATCTCGTCTTTAACGAAGAAGTAACGGAGCGCGATATGTTTCGTGCGGTTCACGAAGCCGGGCTTGTTCGTGATCTTGATCGCGCTCTGGTTGTCGCAGAGTAACGTGAAGTGTCCTTTCATTGTCACTTTCGCTTCCTGCAGGAGCTCCATTAGATATAGTCATTTGCGAACAGCTGCGCTGGCGGCGATGAACTCAGCTTCGGCTTATGAAAGTGCAATGAGCTCCTGCTTCTGGGAGTTCCAAGAGATGAGTCCAGCAGGTTGGAGTCGAAAAATGAATCCTGCGAGAGCGTCTGCTGTCAATATCTCCCGCGTGGTCTGCGGCAACGTAGCCATGAAGCTGTAGGGTAGCATTGAGGTTAGCTTCGTAGGTGAGTCCGACGTCAGGAGTAGAAACGAGGTATTGAAGTGCTCGGCGTAGATCCGGTAGATTCTCCCCTTCAGGTCACTTCAGTAACTGAGCGAGCTGGCTTGCGATCGGGCCGTCACGTGACGGCGGCGAACAAGAGACACCCCAGTTGCTGCTGATAGAGCCGATGGTTCTCGATGGAGAGCGGTATGGTGTCGAGTTCGTGGTTAGGAGGAGGAGTGCGGAAGGGGGTGGTGAGGTTGATCGGGGCGATGGCGAACTTCTTCGCTAGTGATTCCGCGTATTCAGCTCGCCAAGCGTCGTCGAGACGGGAAAAGCAGCGGTGCTGCGTGTGCGGCTTCCCGCATGTCTGACCAGCACGGTCACACGTGCGAATGACATACGGGCAGCTCACACTACCCCCAGACGCCCCACGCTGAAATAACCACTCACAAAGCTCCTGGGGCGAAGGGGTCTCGCTCCGACGCTGCTGCCACTGCCGCTGGCCTCCTACAGAACCTCCACGCTCAGCTCCAGTCCTACCGCCACCACTGCCACCGCTGCCACTACCGCCACTCCCACTGCTGCCTCCACCGCCGCCACCAACGCCCCCACTCCCTCCACCACTCCCACCGCTGCCACCACCTCCACTGCCTCCACTGCTGTCCCCACCACCACTCCCGCTGCCCCCTCCACCACCCCTGCCACCCTTGCCCTTGTTGCTGCGGCGCTTCGCACTAGCAGAAGCAGCCCCGACATCCTCAGTACTAAGGACGTCTACAGCAGCAGCAGAGGCGTAGGAGGGGGCAAGGGGGGAGGGGGAGCACCCCTCAAAGAAGGGCGTGCGCGGAGTGCCACGAGCAGCACCTACAGCTACTGCACTAGTCTCAGCTGCAAGGAGGTGCCGCTCGAGTAGGTAAACAGTGAGGGAGGTGGGGTCAAGGGAGAGGAAGTGGTCTCGAACAGAGCGCAGAGAGTCAGGGAGGCGGGTGACTATAAAGTAGAGAGTGATGTACATTGGGGGCGGGTTCCTATCAAGGAACTCTGTTGGGAGGGCAGCGCGGTAGCGAGCGTCGCTAGCGCGAAGGTGGGAAACCAGGTCCTCGACTGTGGCAAAGGCGGACAGCTCGGGGAACAGGTAGGGCAGGAGGAGGCGGCCTAGAGCAGCAGTGGCAGGCGAGGAGTAGCGAGCGACTACAGCGTCGTACATTGTCTGCGCTGTCCTGTGCTGTCCGAAGTGAGCGCATTCGGCCGACGGGAGGTGGTTGCGAATGGCTAAGCGAGCAGAAGCGTCGCGAGTCAGCCACTGTGAACGAGTCGCACTGTCAGCTGTGGCG